CTTGGCTAGAAGTATTGTTTCCTCTTCTGTGTGCCTATAAAATATTTTACACAGTTTTCTAGAATTACTTCTTTCTAAAAGCCTTCCTAGATTCTTTGAATTAAGGATAATTTCATGTCCTCATTATTGCAGTTATTACAGAGTTTTGCTTATTTTCCACCCAGCAGAGTTCTAGAGAGTAGGAGATGCCAATTAATGCCAGTTACTCTCAACTATTAAATTGCCTAGCAAAGTATATAGTTTTTTGCCTAGCAAAATATTTTGCTTGTATGTTTTGCCAAGATGCAAGCTGTCCTGACTTCGCAAAGAACACAAATCTGTTTGTAGTACATATTAATAAGTTCAGGCTGATGGAGGGTAATAATAAACATGATCAACTTTGATCTGTTGTATGAGTATGTGTTTGTATATGGTTGTGAGGAGTTTCTGTTTTTGTGATCCTTATTTTTTCTCTCTGATTCTCTTCTTGTAAGTTGACAAATTTCCCAATGACCAAATTCATGAAAATGCACCAGTTGTATTCTGAGGTAGTTTTACTTTTAGTAAATAAATTTGCCGGCTCATCTCACTGAAGCAGCAGCTTTTGTGATATACCGTCCTGTTTGTCATCTGGGAGGCTAAGACAGAGAGGCTGAAGCACTTGCATGGGGCCTCCCTGATGTCCTGTGTGATGTCCTATGTGGAGAGAGCTGTGAGGTGGAAGGCTCACAACTAGCTCTACTGACCACTAAGATGCTTTCTCCAGAAGTGTGTTGCCCCATCAATGTTTTAGACATTTTTGTGAGTTTAGATGACTTAATCCTGTCCTGTTTCTCTCTTACCAGTTTATGATATTGCCTAGACCATTAGCAATAGAAGGTGATGTACATGCGAGAACTATTAGTTTTCTAATAGTGGATTGGAGAGGCATGGAATAACCAAGAATGATAGCACACACATTTTTGGATTTTATGCAATTGTTAAATCACTGTTCCTTTGGTGTATTTATTGAATACTTGAAGTCATATCAGATGACAAGATTAAGTTGAGAGAGACACATCATTGGATTAGGCAGGTGATGTTGGGTTTCCAGGATAGAGTGTGCTGCAAGAGAGCAGGACCTGTGGTGAAGCAGGACGACCTCCATAGCTGGAGAGAGTCGTGCTGTCAGTGATACAGTCTGACCTTTGGATGGTTGGGGAAGCTTTTTGACTTAGGCTGAGGAAGACATGTCCCCTGTGGTACTTTTTCTAAAGGCTTGAAGGCTACAGAGTGGCTACAAAGAAGGCTACAAAGCTAATGAAAAAAGATGGAAAAAAATCATAGAATTTGAGGAGAGGTTTTTTTATCTTTGTGATAAGGGCATATTTTGTGACAATTGGATAGAAATGGTGACAATGTAATAAAGTAGAGTGGTCCTGGAGGAAGGGAGGGAGTGTGTATTGAACCTCTCTGAAAAGAATGAACTGTAACTTGGTCATTGTCTCCTCTGGGTTAAATATGGGTTTATTAAAAACCAGAGACTATAATCCTAAATTCCAAGGAAGTGCCTCCTGCTTCATCCACCCAATCTAATGGCTATTCCTGTAGCCTTGTCTTTTCAGGGCTCTCTGGCAACTGACTAGCACCGTGTTGAAAAGACTAGCTGCCCTAGTCTTTCTTTTCTTCTCTCTTTCTTTTCTTCTGCCAGTCCTGGGGCTTGAATCCAGGGACTGGGCGCTGTCCCTGAGCTGCTTTTGCTCAAGGCTAGCGCTCTACCACTTAAGCCACAGTGCCACTTCTGGCTTTTTCTGTGTATATGGTGCTGAGGAATTGAACCCAGGACTTCATGCATTCTAGGCGAGTACTGCACCACTAAGCCACATTCCTAGCCCCTATGTAAATTTAAGTGCATTTTCAATATAGAGAGCCCTGTTACAACACCTTGAAAACAATAAAATGGAGAAGAGACTGATAAGATGGGTATAGAGCAAAAATGAATTAGTAACATAGAGAGATGTGAATCAGGAAGTGGCCTTGCCTTACTGTTTTCTTTTCATCCTAGCCTTCTTCCCTCTCTAACATTTTCCCATTCCCTATACTTCCCTGGGAATGGATGGGCAAGGACACACACACACACACACACACACACACCTATTTTCTTGGCATAGCATTCCATATTTTCTGCTACTGAACTCTGTAGGTGATGCTCAATATCAAAAGAACTTGAGCAAAGTCTGCCCAGGCTTATCAGATTCTGATTTAACTGTAGTTTAGGGGTGTCAGTCAAATGACACTCCGTGCTACTGGGACTTGATGAAATCTGGAGATTATTATACTCATATTTTAAATGAAGATTTACTTTGCAAAATTTCCCTTTCTGTATTACCTTCCTTCCTACTGACAAAAGTAACAGAAGTAAAAATGGCAGGGCTGGGTTGGAAGTATTCATGGCTTAAGTGGTAGAGTGCCCGCCTCTCAAGCATGCAAGCCTAGTTTAACTTCCAGAAGGCCCTCTCCTCTCCTGAAAAGGAGAGGAGCAAAAATAATCCTTTAACAACCGAAACTAGAATTTTTAGATATAAAATATTGGCAATCATGTATGTTCACAGTTCACATGCTTTTATTTTTTAATGTGTTGATTTATTTTTGAAAATCAAATTATATTGTAAGTCATCCTTCAGTATCCTCAGGGAATTGGTTCCAGGACCCTCTGCTGATACCAAAATCTACAAATACCCAGATCTCTTTCAGCAAATGGCATAATGCTGGCATTTATCTGTGAATATCCTCCCATCTATATTATGCCTAAGTGTCTTGTAATACTTTATCCAGTGTAAATGTTATGTAAGTAGTTGTTACACTGAATTGTTTATGGACTAATGACAGTGGGAAAACATTTGTAAGTGTTCAATAGACACAATTTTTTCTGAATATTTTTGGTCTGTAGTTGGTTAAAATATATGCAGATCCCATAAAGGACTGAGTGTGTATGTATACATTCTCATATATACATCTCTGAGGTCTTCCTATTCTGATTAGAAATTAAATGACTTGTTTTCTTTGCTTTTTTCTATAAATACAGTGGTATTCAAAAGAAAAAGAACATTTTTCTACCAAAGAGTAAATAGTAAGCAGGGTTTCTTGGGATATTTATTAAGGGATATTTATTACATTCATCAATTATTATCTTAATTCAACCCTTGATATTCTGAAGATTAATGTTCTTCTCACTGGTGATATAATTTGTAGGGAGAAAAAAGGAAATGTAACTGTACACGAAAGGTACTTAGAGGACAGAAAGCTTTTTGTTGCTGGTTATTCCTTTTTATACTGCTATTCTGTAATAACTATAGTTATACTACCATATCTTTAAATTCATTGGAGGCAATTATTCCTAAGACTGACCAAAATTTGCTGGAAGGAAACATATAGCCTTATGCCTATGTGACAGGTGCTGTGCTTCTTTAATTCCCAGTCATGTTGACGTGAAAGTCCTTGCTTTGTTTGCAGAGGGGGAACAAAGCTTCTGAAGAAGCTGTAGAACATGTCCAAGTCATGCCTCTTGTGGGCTTTGGGGCTTTCAGATCCTTATGCTGAGTGTAGTCACTCCTGTTTGCAGTCTGTAACACATTACTGTGTGTCTTTAACCCATGATTTAAGATACCAGAAAGAGAGTCTCCAGAATCTCCCCTCCGCTCCCCTTTGTCTTCAGTAAATATGAGGCTGACTAGAAAAGAAAGAAGGCTTGAGCATGAGGGCAAGATTTACCTTATTGGCTATTGCACCCACAGGCCATGCATAGCACATAGTAGGAACTCAATAAATATACGCTGAATGAATGATGTAAATGAGAAATAGTGGCTAATTAGAAAGACTAAAGTGTAACAAGGACAAAAAAATTAAAAAACACAGCTATATGGATAATTTAGCTATTTGGATAAACGATTGTATACCTCAGTAGCCCCCTAAGGAATGAAGAACCTTCTAGTATACTCATACATATCCAAATGATGGCCTGGGGCCACTGAACAACTAAGGTGTGACTTACCCCTTTGTAACAGGGAGAAGGTTAGCCAGTGTAAAAGCCAGATAGTACTGACCTATTTTAGAAGGCTTCTATTTAATAAAAAAATTTGGGGGCTGGGAAGATGGCTCAGTGGTAGAGCGCTTGCCTCGCATGCTCGAGGCCCTGGGTTCGATTCCTCAGCACCACATAAGCAAAAAGAAAAAAGCCGGAAGTGGCTCTGTGACTCAAGTGGTAGAGTTCTAGCCTTGAGCTGAAGAGCTGAGGGACAGCACCCAGGCCCAGAGTTCAGGCCCCACGACCGGACCCCCCCAAAAAAAAATTTGGTCCCTTTTTTCCCCTGTAAAGTGTGCTGAAGGGGTAGGCATCATTGTCTTAGAAACATCACCTATGTAGGCTCGGTTTTTGCTTAATGATTTGGATACAGAGACTGATACTTGTCTTAATTCTTTTTCCCTAATAAGTTTAACATTAAAATTTCATGCCACATGAGCTTTAAATCAAATTATATTCTTTGGAAGATACCTTATAAAAATTGACTATGGTATATAGCATAAACCATTTGTAATACTATAAAATAAATCGATTGCACAAAATAACAAAACATATTTTGAGTAATGTCACCTAAAAGATTTATGCTGGGTGCTGGTGGCTCATGTTTGGATTATGGTTTGAAGCTAGCCTAGGCAGGAAAGTCAGTAAGATTACAATGAAGAACCAAAAAAGCCAGAGCTTTGGCTCAAGTGGTAGAGCACTAGCTTTATGCAAAAGAAGCTCAGGGATAATACCCAGACCCTGGCTCAAGTCCCAGGACTAGCACCAAAATCAAAAAAACAAAAAGTTATGGTGTGTTGAAGTAACTCATGTTTGAGCATTATGTAGCTTGTTATAAGGAAAAGTTGAGAGAATTATAGGAAACTATCAAAATGGTTTAAATTTCATTATTCAACAGCATCGATGCGCTACTTTCTTGTGTCAAGAATGTATCTATTAACAGTGATATTTTGCCTTACAGCTTTTCTGGGAGAAGAGGCTACAAGGACTTAGTGCATCAGATGTAACAGAACAAATTATAAAAACCATGGAACTACCTAAAGGTCTTCAAGGTATTATCTAAGTTTAGTTGAGCAGATATTTATTAAGTACCTACTGTGTGCCAAGCTTGAGTCTGTGGATTCAGAATTGACTCATGGCCATGTTTCTTGCTGGTTGATGAATTGACTCACGTCCATGTTTCTTGCTGGTTGATGCACCTCTTGTAGTGAAGGGAAAATGAACATGGCAGCTCTACATGGTGTAGGGTTACTTCCATGAACATATTACTGCACATTGTCTTTTTTAATGCTTGAAACCTTTGGCTCAAGGATAGGTTCATCGTGTGCTTGGGCTGCCTGTCTGTGCTGCATGAACACTAGATGCAGATGGAGTTTCTCAAGCTTCTTGATTACAGTAGCCTCCAGCCCCAACATTTACTCTTTCTCTTATCCTCTTGCCAAAAGAACAGCTAACAGTTCTCTTTCTGTCATTCTCTCCACAAGCTGCTGCTGTACGTAGCAGAGGGAACTTGCACTTTGGTCCCTAACAACAGCCAATGGGATCTGCCAATCATGATAACTCCAAGTGCTAAGGAAGCATTACTGTTCTGTTACAACTTTGCCTTCTAAATCTTGATGTATTCTACATTGATCAAGAGCCTTATAATTTATAGTCGGGCTATTGTTTCATCTTCTTGAAAATTATTGCTTTAACTAAGTAAGTTTAGAACTTTAAAACAGTTCCCTTAGATTTTGCCACGATGCTGGTTTTCTACAAATAGTCAAGATGTGCAAGTGTTGACTCTATAAGTCTGAAAAGGCTGGTGAAGCTGCAGGAGTAGTATGCTTTACTGCCTTTTTCTTTCAAGTTCTGAAACAAAACAATCGTTGAAGCATTGCTGGAAATTAATGTCCAAAATACAAGGTGAAACTATTATAGGATTTATTATTTGGGATACTTGTTATAATATAGTGCCTTTATAATGGATTCAGATTATTTAAATAGTTTTCACTATTTTGAGGAAATGTGGCTGACTTTTCCCAAGTTTAGTCACTTTGGAAAATGTATTGAAAAGTTTAATTTAAAACACAATTCTTTTGTTACTGTTATTTTAATATTCCTTGTTAGTGTACTTACTACTCATGTATTGTTCTTTGTTGCTTTGGCTTATGTTCATTTTAAATAGGTGATCCCACTGAACACAACTATCGGTTGTGTCATGTGGGGTTTGCTCAGCATAGTGGGAATCTTCCACTCAGTGGTGCTTCTTTCTTGTTGTAGGAGTTGGTCCAGGGAGTAATGATGAGACCCTTTTATCTGCTGTTGCCAGTGCTTTGCACACAAGCTCCGCACCAATCACAGGACAAATCTCCCCAGCTGTAGAAAAGAACCCTGCTGTTTGGCTAAACACATCTCAGCCCCTCTGCAAAGCTTTCATTGTCACAGATGAAGACATTAGGTAAAGTACTTTACCTTGACTTGGAAAACTTGGTTTTTGCTTGTGGATAAATATTCTACTGCACGTGAGACTTAGCTCCATAAGTTGAACGTCCCTTCTTTGAAAAGTTAAATCCAAAATGCTACAAAAGCTGAGCTCCAAAACAATGATACAAGTGAAAAATTTTGTACTATAAAGCTTTGTTTCAGGTATTAAATTATTTAAAAATGGTGTATTAAATTATCTCCAGTCTGTGATTTACATGAAACAAGTGAAGTTTGTATTTGGATTAGGTCTCATCTCCATGATACCTTATGATGCATACACCAGTCCTCTAAAAGTCGAACTAGTGGTAAGTAATACTAGACTTTTGTAAGAAAGATATGCTCAAAAAAGATGGACAGTGCTGCATATCAGAGATATCAACAAGAGCATCTATGGCCAGATCAATTATGTTCGCTACACTTCATTTTTGCAGTGTTTTTTTTTTTTTTTGCTAATTTGGCCTTCTGAACTTCTGGCCTAATCAGACTCATCAGGTCTTTATGTATGTTCTTTTTGTTTTTGCTTTTGTTTTTCTTTCTTGAGATTGAACCCAAGGCCCCCACATGTAAGGCAAACACTATAAAGCTGACCTACATCTTCAGCCTTTTCTTCATGCCTTTTATAATTGCTTCATGTACATTTGTTTGTCTACAAACCAACTCTCCTTAAAGGAGATGATGGCCATAACCATATTCCTTTAAGCTCAGTTGTATTTTCAGAGGTCACTTTAGTTCTCCTCATTATGTTTACTTCTCTTGAGCTCAATTTAGAGATTGATCTGTACTTCACTTTGTTCCAAGGAAAAGTATAAGGTAGTTACTAAGTTAAACATACACATTTATACACACACACATACACAATTATAGCAAGATGAGAAATAAATGAAAAAGAGCTAAGGGTAAAGCTGTAAAACAGTCAGGATAAGAAAGGATATAAGCAACATGTATTAGCATGTATTAACAGCTTTTATTTCTTCTAATGCTGGGCCACAATTTAGATTTTTAACAGCAAATAAACAGTAAAAGGAAAACATCTGGCTCAGATGGGTAGAATCTAGGATTTATGAGCTTCAGTACTGGAGTACTATTCCTAGTAGAAACCAGTAGATGGCACTTTTGAATCATAATTAAAAATAAAATTTGTATTCTGTTCTAAACCTATAAATAGTTGATATAAAATGTTTCTAAATGCACAAGTCTGTCTAGGTTTATAATTAGAAAGCTTCTCTTGGGTTTTAAAGTAATTCCTTTTGCAAAGGTATAAATGAGTTCAAAGTTGTATTCATATGCTTTGATTGCATGAGATGTATGATCTGCAGTTTTGGAAAAATTAGAATAACAAAATGAAAAGTCAAATCATCTTGCTTTTTGGGCTTATTCTTATTTTTGAGGAAGAAAATTACATGGGAATCAAGTGCTTTTCTGTCTTGGGATGAGCACAGAGTGAGCAGTAGGGACTCTACAGGTTGTTACTGGGTTGATACCCTGGGCATGCCAGGTCTGCCACAGATCTTTCGACAGTAGAGGGAATTATCAAAAGCCAGCTCTGGACTATTTCCCGTTTTGGTAAAGTTCCCTAACAAATTATTCATTTGATTTAATCATTTGAGCAGAAATTATTAAGCAGATATTCCTTCTTGAATTAATGTGGGTTCCAAATAACTGACTGCAGATGAAATTATGATGCTTCCTCTCATTATGTAGTCAATATGCTGATTTCTTGCAAACCTCTGATCAAAGATAGCATTCTTGCACAGGGGCATGCCATCCTCCTGTGCGCTGTGCTCCATTTTATCTTATGTGCTGCCAGAATGAACACCCATCTGAAGATTCCAACTTTACGTATATGTATTTCGGCAAAGTTGATATTTTCATCCATGGGTAATTTGTTTTCTAATAGTTTATAACAGATTCTCACAAGCATTACAGCCATCTGTGAACTTGCAGTCCAGGTCAGCAATCTCCAGGTTCTCTGCTCCCGTCTCCCAAGATTGAAATCAAAGTCGGAGACCGTGTTGCCTTCAGGAGCTTGGGATTTTCTTTCAAGCTCATATACTTGTTCATTCTTGTGGTTGTTAGGCTGATTGGCCATGGGACAGGGGCTGCTTTCAGCTCGAAAGGCGGCCTACATTCCTTGTCCTCCGGTCCCTGCATGTGCTCTTACATGTGTGTTTCATTTTTACTAGAGAAAATTAATTGTACAAAGGGGTGTTTTCATTTTGATTTGTCATACATATGATGTTCTTGGATCAAATTCACCCTTTCTGTTGTTCTTTCTTTCTTAATCCCTTTCTCTCCACCTTTTAAAAAAAGTTTTTTTCATTATGCTATATTCACATCTATATGTAATGTGCTTTGTATTCATATGTATACTGTACCGAGCTTTCTTTTTAATTAGCTCAAGATCAGTTGACCAGTAACCTAATCATGGAGTGATAGCCCATAATAGTTACCAGTTTCACTCACCTTTAAGGAGTAAAATTGTACAGAGTGTATACAAGGTGTATGGGGGTTCCTGGGGAACATCTTAGTGCTTGCCTCCCATAGTGGCAAGCACTTAAATTTCAACATCCATAAACGTGGGAAGTAGTGCTCCAAAATTGGCAGTTAATTATGTTCGAGAAATAATATTCAATTAAAATTAATTATTAATCAAAATTAATATTGCTCAAGAAAATTAATTGTGGGCTTTAGGGTTTAAGATAAAGTGCCATTTGCTCCCTTTGCCCTCTCTTTCCTACAGGATCACTCCCGGGCAACTGTGCCTTCTCTTGTTTTCTGCCAGTGAGACATAAACTTTGAATCACTGGGCAAATGTTGTCTCTGTGACCCTACTCCATTATATAAAGGTCTGTTGAGTTTCTTTTATTATGACAGAAGATATAGAGCTCAGATCGACTTCGTAAATACTCCCTGCCTCTCAGCTTCCTGGCTTTGTTTTCAAAATTTATTTAAAATATAAAACAAATATTAGCTGTACAGTTTGAGGAGCCTGCAGGGACTAACTATACCAGGGGGTAATTGAGCTTTCCAATCGTGGCTGTGCTTCTTTGTGGTGTCTCAGGTCCGGGCCGGGCTGGAGTCTGTCTTCCTCAGTGACTGGTAGAAAACTACGTTTTCTTTTCGAGCCCTCACTTTCCCTGTCACTGTGCTGCTCTGCACTCTCCTCTGCAGCCATCCTCATCCTCTTTCTTCTCTCGGAGGAGGGCCTCCCCTGTTCTCTGTTTAAAGCTAGCCTTCCCACCTTTTTTTCTTCTTTATTGTTTTGGAGGGATTGGGCTTTCAACTCAGGGCCCCATACTTGCTTAGTAAATGCTCTTCCACTTGAGTCACGTAGCTTTTTTTGTAGTTGTTGGTCATGGGGCTTGAACTCAGGGTCTGGGCACTGTCCCTGAACTCTTTTGCTCAAGGCTAGAGCTCTACATTGGGTTTTTCCAGTGTTCTGGTGGTTAATTGGAGATAAGAGTCTCATGGACTTTCCTGCCTGGGCTGGCTTTGAACTGCCATCCTCAGATGTCAGCCTCGTGAGTAGCTAGGATTACAGGCGTGAGCTGCCAGTGCAGGCACTCACTCACCTTTTTGGTTTAGGAGACAGTGTCTCACACTTGGCTGTGATCTTTACCTCTGCCTCCGGGATCGCCAGATGACAGATGCAAGCTTTCACAGGCCATTGTGCTTCCTGCTTGTGCTTCTCTAGTTGGCTCTGGGTGTAAATTCCGTCTTGCCCTTTCAGGGAGCTAGTCTCAGTTTTTTTGCTTTTAAAAGGTGAAATATGGACCGGCAGCTCTTCCTCCTGGGTTTTATTTTCTGTCTAATGGTTTGGAGCCTTTATTAGTACGTTCACCTTCCTGGTCCTGGTAGTCAAGAGGTGACCTGGTATCTTGAATGGCTTTGCTTATCTCAGTTGAATAGATGCTTTTTGGTTTCTGTGTTCAGTTCAGAAGTTCATGTAGTTGTGGCTCTTCTGTGCTAACCTGTTGTCTACAGACACGGGAGCTCAGGAATTCTCCCTCCTAACAAAGTCATGAAGAGCCAGACCTCCTCCCGGCACGCCCTGTCTGTCTCAGTGCCTCACCAGAGAAGGTGCTTCTCCCTCATTTGCCTCTGACCTCTCTCGTGTTCCTGTTTTCAGGTGATGTCTACTTGTTCTGTATAGCAATAAAGGCAAACCTTCACACAGGAAGAAGTTACTGAAAGAAAACTACTGCTTCCAGAATTCTCTGTGAGACAAGGGCTAATTGTCTGAGACCATCCTTTTCTTTTTTAGGAGAAAATCTGTTTTAAGTATTTAGTGACTTATTTTAGTGAGGATGAACTCTTGTTGCAGTTTCGAGCACTGGAGGCATGGCTTAAGCACATGCCTAGCAGGTACAAGGCCTGAGTTCACATGCAAGTATGGCAAAAGGAAAAAACCAAACAAGACAAAGAGAAACCTCAGGGTAAGATGCAGTAGTTTCTTATTTTGATTACTTGTCAGATTGTCAAGGTTTTTTTCTTCTGCTTTTGAAAAGGAAACAGGAAGAACGAGTACAACAAGTCCGCAAGAAATTGGAAGAGGCGCTGATGGCAGACATCCTGTCCAGGGCTGCTGATACAGAAGAGATGGAGATTGAAATGGACAGTGGAGATGAAGCCTAATGTGTGATCAGGTAAACAAACACCAGACCCAGAAGCAGGTGGCTCTTATGCTGTTTATTTTCTTGTTGTTTTCCCTTCCCAGCCTCCTCAGCAGAGAATACAAAGCTGCGCCTCTGCATAGTTACACATGTGCTACTTCTCCCATTTGAATTTAGAGCCATATAAATTATTTTTATCTGTTTGTTCTTACTCAGTGAGGACATTTGACCCCCAGGTTAAACATGCACCAGGTGTTAGAGGGAAGCAGGAGGAAAACAGGACCCAATCAGGTGGGAGGAAAGATTAACCTGAACTGCATTGTGTCCCCTTTAGAATTATGCTTGCAATATAGGCAGAATTCTTCTCTTATTGGATGCTCTTCCTTCCATATATCCAGTATTAAAAAACCACTTAGGAAGGACACTGACATATGTAATATGTAATTTTCTCTAACTTCAAATTTTGGTCCTAAAACCACTAATGAGTTACAAGTACAACCGTAGGTTTCTGGTTTTTTGTTTTTGTTGTTACATGATTTCTCACAGCTTCAGTGTGGCAACCTGTTTCCCAAATTCCATCCTGCATCTTGGCAGACTTTAGTTCCCTTTGAAGTCAAAACTGAGGAGAGGCAAGGGGTAGCTCACATGACATGAAGGTTGAACAAAGCCTTTCCAAGGAAGTGACATTTACCTTGGGCCTGACAGATGTGTGGAAATGAGTCAGGCAAAGCATAGTCTCATTAGAAGGTGTAGCACAGAGAAACCTGGTTTATTTCAGAGCAAAGCAAAAGTCACTGCAGTAGACTGTAGTGTGTGTGTGAGGAAGGTGGGGATGCTGTGTGGCAGCACACCTACTCGTGGGGAGCCTGGGGGTCATGACTAAGGACTTTGAGCTCAGTCATTAAAACTAGTGGAAAATATGGAAGGGCCAGTGGTGTGATGAGGTTTGCTTATGTACACAATCCTCTGTCTTAAGACGGCACCGGTGGCTCATGCCTATAATTCTCGCTACTCAGGAGATTGACACCTGTAGGGTGATGGTTCAAGACCAGCCTGGCCATAAAAATCTTCTAGACTCTATTTCCAAACTAATCTCCTAAGAGCAGGACTAGAAGTATGGCTCAAGTGTATAGGGCCAAGCAAGCAAGCTCAAGACCCTGAGTTCAAACCCTGGTATTGTACCCTCTCTTAAAAATAAATCCTTCTAGCTACTGTAGGAAAAATGCACTGGAGTAGAGAAAGCTCTGAATCAGGGAGATGAGTTGGGAGGTGCATGTGTCCAGCAGAGGTGGTGGTGTTTTTCATGAAACTGGTGTTAGTGGGTAGGGAAAAGAGGAGGCAAGTGCAGATCTGAGATGTATTTTGAGGTAGAGGTGTCTTGACCTGTGGCTGATTGGATGTGGGCTTGAGAGGATGGCAAGGCAGAGTCAGGTTTGTCTGGAGCTCAAGGCTGACAAGAGTGAGTTCTGTTGGGTAGAGGAACAGACTGAGTGTAGGGAGTGCCAGGATGACGAGCTTAATTGATGTCACCTTTTCCATGGGCTCCTTAATTCAGGAGTGGCTTATGCCATAGTGTCATCGATTTTTATTCACCTGCCCAGGACCTGCAGTGCTATTCCATCACGTAGATTTTTGACCTCACAGAACCTTTTACGTGTAGTTCAGTCTGAGTTTTGAGACTGCTTTTTTTTCCACAGTGAAGACAGGAAGACACTGTTGGCATCCTGAACTCTGTTTCCCAAGCTAGCAAGGATGTGCTGTGTGAGCTTCGATGAGTGTCATTTAGTTGGTGTTTGATGCCTACCAGAGAGAGACGTGAGGCTTCTTTCTTTTAGCCATGCTGCTTCTGGAGCCCTGAGGCAGTTGCTTTACGGAAGCCTTCGTGCCTGGCTCTGCCCTATGCATCAGAAGGGGCCAGGAAGGCACTCCTCTTCCATAGCTTTTAGTTTCTCGAGACTTCTCTCCGGAAATCACTTTGGGATAATCAAGGGACTATCCAGTTGAGGTGTAGCTGGGCCTGAACTTCTGCAGATTACCTTGCATGTTGCTATCAAGTTAACACTACACAAGTTAACTTCTATACACAAATGTGTTCTAGGCACTTCATACTTACAGACACTAGCCACTCTCTGTTCATTGCCTTGCACATGGGTTCATGGCAATAATAAGAAACTAGTTATTGTAAGTGATTGAGTTTTAATTGGTTCTTTATAAAAAGTAGCTGTTATTTCAGGTGCTAGTGGCTCACACCTGTAATCGTAACTATTCAGGAGGCTGAAACCTGAGGGATCATGGTTTGAAACCAGCCCAAGCAGGAATATCTGTGAGATTCCATGTTCAATTAACAAGCAAAATGCTGAACTGGATGCATGGCTCAAGTGGTAGCGTACCAAACATAAGCAAGAAGAAACAGGAGCCAGGAGTATGAGGCTCTGAGTTTAAGCTCTGTTCACACACACACACACACACACACACACACACACACACACACACACACACACACACACACTC